CCCCAAAACCCCAAAACCCCTTGTTGGAAAATATTGTCTTTTCTGGTTAATGAAATAAAGATTAAGAATCAATAGATGCAAATTTCTTGGGTAGTAATGATCAATTTCCACTTAACATCCCCATGAACTCAGTTTTATCCGAGTTATCTCTTAAGATCCATATTTTCTTTTCTAATAGAATTTAGATCAGCCTCTAGCTTATTAATTTCCTCCATGTTCTTATATTTGATTCTGAAGTCCTCAAGTTTGGTTTCGACTTCTCTGATACCGTTCTTAAGCTTGTTTTGCTCTTAGATATTTGTTATAAGTTTATCAAAGTTTTCCTTAAGTCTCATAATTTCCTTGTAGATATTTGTGGCAGTTTTATCTTTCTTTGCCTCATTAAAAATAAAATCTTCCACTTCAGTGTCAATTTTTTTAATTTGAGTCATAACTTTTTCAGTTTCAGATTGAATATCCTTAATCTCATCAAGAATAGTCTTAATTTCTACTTTTTAAGCTTTAACATTGGCTATGATCTCATAAATTCTCTTCAAATATTGATTTCTGTTTAAGTCTTTGGGTATTTTTGTAAATTCCTACTCCATAAATGAAGCCAACTGCTTTTTGTGCTCTATCTCTTAAATAGCTTCTTTGATTTCCTTCTTGATATTCTTAATCTTTTCATTCTTATATTGATACTCTATTCTCTTTTCATTAATCTCTTGCTTCTTTTCGAATATTTCCTCATTAATTGGCTTCTTATACTCTTCCCATTCACTTTTTAAATCATCTAATTCCTTTTTAATCTAGGAAACCTCAGTTTAAAGCACTCTTAAGTCTTGATTACCTAGTTTTTACAATTCATTTAAGACTTCCTTCTTCTTTTTAGCTTGCTTTGAGATTTTCTTTAAGTTTTCAGTGAGATCTTTTTTCTCCTCAGATATCTCCTGCTTTCTGATATTATTTCTCTCATAGGTAGTCTTATAGTTCTCAATATCTTGCTTTATGTTGTCAATCTACTCTACCATAACTTAAATTTCAGCCTCTTTCTCTTCTTTGAGCTTATTAACATCAAATTTTTATTGAAGTTCAGCAATAATATGCTATTACTGAGCTGATTACTGATATTATTTTTAAGGCAATGCTCTTTCTGTGTTTTACTATGATTACCCATACTCGGTAGATTCCATAGTATTTGATGTCTAGAATGATTAGTTAAATTAGAAATCTTTTTAGTCCACAGATTCATTCATTTGTGAGAAAGTTGATCTTTCTTCGTAATCTTCATTGAACTTTTATCTTCCGTTTCCATGCAAATCATTATTGAAAGGCTCCTCTTGATAAGTTTAGTTTTCGTAATATTAGGGTTGATTATAGCTCTAAGTTTCAAAATTTGCAGTGGTAGTTTGTGGGGCAATATTATTTGATTCACCAATATCTTCATTTAACCTTTCAATGTATTAAGCTGACTTGAGATCTAAAATGATTTGTAATAATTGATGAGATTATCTTACCTTAGAGCTATTCCATATCTTTTAGCTGCTCTTCTCTTTCCTCAAGTACCTCTTTAAGGGTTTTTACTTATTCATCCCTTTCTTCTTAAGCAGCTATAGCTGCTCCAGGCTTAGTAAGAGTTTGAATAGCAGTTTGGAACTCCTAAATTATTTTTGCTTTGCTATTTCTCACTATTCTCTTCTGATTTTTGTTTTATCTCTCATCATAATCTTCTTCATCTTCTCCTCTAATAAGGTTGTTTCCTTTCTTTTAAAGAAGCTAAACTTAGCCTCTCTTGAAACTGACTGATGAAAGCTCATTGCTGAGAATAGTTTGACCAGACTAATAGTTTTCTCCCATTTCACCATTTTTAAAAGTCATCATAAGTTCATAAACACCTTTAGCTTTTTTGCTCTTGCACTAGGCTATTCTCTGGTAATCAATGCTAGCTTTTACATTTATTCTATCTCCACCACCGATAAAAAGAGGTCTCTTAATTTTGAGGAAGTCTGGAAGGATCCATGGCTTGTTTTACCACTTACCTAGTCTCCTCTTAAGTAACACCTCGAATTCATTTGTAGGCTGATTATTTTTATTATCTTAGTCATCTTCTGCCTTGAAAATGAATTCAAACAAGAATCCGAGGAGCTTTCTAGTATCTTTGGGATTAGGATATAGAAAAGCATTAAAACTTAAGTCATGATAGTATCCAAGGGTCTATAAATATTAGAGTAAGTAAAAGATAAATAAGTTACCTTAAGGTATGTTGTAAACTAGTTGCAAACTTTGAATCTATGGGTTGCTTCCTTAAGATTTTGGGACTTAAGGAATTTAATATCAATAAAGTTATCCTTTTCACTGAGCATGCTTGATATCTGCTCGAAGCATTTTATCATAATGACGATAAACTACTCAGCTGAGAAATCATTTAGATTTTAAGCTTGACTATAGTTATTTATTTACTATTAAGATGATACATACATTCCAAGGTGCTAAAGTGATATGATAAGAATGTTATCAGCTTCCTCCATCTATTAAATGTCAAGAAAAATTAATTTATATTTATTTGGATCCACTTTATCAAGACTATTCAATATTTTTGGGGTTTTGGGGTTTTGGGGTTTTGGGGTTTTGGGG